AGACTCTCAAACTGCTGAATTGTGAGACCTGGAATAGGGCTTTCAGTGACAGCAACCTTGGCTTCCTTAGGACCATTACGAGGACGCTCCGGGGGCTTCTTGCGGCTACCTTTGTCGGCCTTGGAACCAGATTTTTCAGGCCAACCAATTAGATCGAAACAACGATCCTTAGAATGCCCCTGTTTACCACAGTGGCTACAACGCGGCTTGTCATCAGAACCAGCAGGCCCGCGCCCTTGTTCGTCCTGAGTGAATAAGGCCGCTGCCTCTGGAGAGGGACGATTGCTAGCAGCGATGCGGCGCTGATGATAATCATTCGAGACTAGCTGATAAGCTTCCGAAAGTGTAGGCATCTTCGACATTGAAAGGACCTGAGTCTTAACCGTGGAAAACGACTCATCCAACCCCATGATGAAGTCATAAAGTCGAAATTGCTCTTCTCGCTCTTGGTTCTTTTGTTGCTGCCCACAAGTACACAACCCACACGAACACGTATGGAGGGGGGCCATGGTTTGAAGTTCCTCCCCAAAATCACGAAGTCTTGTGTAGAACTCCGACACAGACAACTTTTCTTGTGACAAACGGCTGATAGAGCGCCGTACCTCATAAACGCGCGGATGACTCCCTTGCTTGAACCGCTCTTGCAAGTCAACCCACACCTCGCAATCTGTCTTGGCGTGTCGCATACCGCGACGAACTTGTTTATCAACGGCGGTAGTCAACCATCCTTTTACCATAGCATCCGCACGACGATAGGCACCCAATTTTCCCGGATCAGTGGGGTCCTTGAGTGACCCATCCACGAACCCTAGCTTGTTCTTTGCTAGGAGAGACGTGGTCATCTCATAAACCCAGTCAGCATAGTTGTTTTCATTGAGAAGCTCGCCAACATACAACTGATTGGGGTTATCAGATTGGCTCAAGAAATATGGGGATGCAGGATCAGTCTCATACCCGCCGCCACTACCACTGCCATCACCGCCACCGGTCGGAGCACTGCCAGAAGTAGTAGATGAATAACTAGAGAGTGTACTCATCGTTGCACAACGGAAACGAAGATCTTGTCACAGCTCTGATACCATGTAGAAAACCAAACGCGGAAATAAACGAACACACGGATTTAACGTGGTTTCCCCGTTCAACGTGAACGAGACTACTCCACGGAGAGCTACAGCTCTCAAACAAAACTCCACTAGGTTTATTCTCCAGTTACAGTTCGGCCGAGCTTCACACTAAGGCTTTATACTACGTGACCCATTCACAAGCAGCTAGGGTTACGTGAACAATTACTAGACCACTACACCATGAATGAAATATGTACAAGTAAGGACAACTCGCAATATGCCCCAAGCCCTAGATAACAAGCCCTTGCCATTTGCCAAGGCCGAATCAGCTAGGCTTTTCGGTAGGGGCCCTGTCCTGAGAAGGAGTTAATCGATAAGGGGAAAAGGATTTTTTTAAATCAGTGTATTTATTTATTTACATAATATAAATATTCTTTTCTAATTTAGTTGAAATAATAATTAAAATTTGGAATTAAAATTTTCATGTCAGTTGCCACATCACTGCTGCCTAGATTTTTTGTTAAATACTAACAGTCAACACTAGTAAACACTCATGGAAAAATAGTTTGTGCCAAAATTGTCATATTTAATAGTTTAGGATAGAAATGATACTTTTTGGAGAATTCGGACTTTGTAGTGGTATTAGCCCAAATTTTTTTGAAAAAAAATATCTTTTAATGTGAAATTATGACAGTATTAGTTGTAAAATATATCTTACATTAGTGTTGGGGGTTATAAGTAGGGATGAGAATTGGTCGGCCTAGATGGGTTTGGTCTCAACCAGCTTACTAGTGAGTTGGTATAATTTTGACCTGCTATCCGCCTACATTCGTATCCGGGTAGGTTGGGGAGTGGCGGATGCGGTTGAGTTGTGGTTTAACCTGCAAAAGTAATTTTTCAACTATCAATTAAGCAAGTAAATTAACATTTATAATAAATTTCTCGCAAATAGTAAGATAGTAGCAAAGTAGTATTCACATTAAAATTTTCATTACTTCATCGACCAATTGTGTTGAGAATGTTTATGTATTTTGTAACTTTATACAATTAATAGCTTATAATATGCCGCACAATATGTTATGGACATTGGGAGCGGTTACGGTGATTACTACAAAGTAGTAATCACCATGGCTACTAAGGGTAGGAATGGTATTTTGGTGCTTATTGTTTTGGTAGTGATGCTGTGTTTTATTGGTAGTGTTTACATTGTGGTATTGGTGTATATCTTTGTTGATGGATTGGTATTCAATATTGAAAGATGTGCATGGTTTGGTATCAGTACCATTAAAATGAATTGTTTTGCTCGTCCCTGTGTTTTAATGGTATTAGTATCATTAGTTATGCGTTAGTAGACATATTGCTGATGTCGCTCTTCATCAGACATCGTAGGAGTATGATTTATTATTGTTTCGGTATATATACATATCTTTATTGGTATATATGTTTGGTTTGATTGGTATTGGCATAGCTTTTTTATGTTTTGCTATTGTTAGTAGCTAGTGTTTGTAGCAACCTTATGTATGATAACCAATACCATTCCATAAAACTCGAACAATACCATTGCACATATAACAATGAATACTAACATTCCATATAGTAGATCACTACCAATGCATGCTAGTCTCAACAAAACCGCACACATGTACCATTGCAAGATCAACAAACGGTGCAACTCATCTTGACCACTACTATTGCAAGATCAAATAACATATCAATCCACCAAAAGATCACTACCAATGTATGCAGATAACTACGAAAATGGTAGATCACTACCATTTCATGAAAAAAATCAATTTCTTGCTTTTTGGTTTTGCCTTCCGCCACTGCTCTTCTTCTCGCTCTCGTTACCTTCCATGTATATATATATAATCCATGGTGCGCTCTCTTTCAATCCCTCTTCATCTTTCTCCACTCGAAGGCAATGAAGAGGACATGAATCGATTTTCTTTCTTCTGTGAGCTTCCGGTTCGGGATCGAAGGAGCCGCTTGTTTTGAGGTTGGGCGACGACAGATGGCCAGAGGCGGTCAGCGAAGCTTGGTCCTGTGGCGCGTTGGGAGTGAGGGAGGGGAGGGTAGAAGTAGGGTTTGGATAGCCTCTCGATGATGATGGGAGCTTGTGGCAGCGGCAGGTTTGACTGGAGGGAGAGGAGGCTAGGGTTTGGGTACAATATACAGAATAATCGGGTGTGGTCTATTTTTTGTTTTCAAAATTACCCTAAAACAATCTTAACCGTGAGATTAGAAAAAGAGGGAAAAAAGAAAAATGGATGGGAGATATTGTTGTAGCCACAGTGGCTACAAGAATTCTAGTTGCCACCCTAACGCATTCCTATGGACATTACCTAACATAATCACAAATAATAATAGTCCAAAATATTATTTATTCTCACTTTAGAATCAGTGTGTAGTGCGGCTAGAAAATATGATGACTATATGATTGTACAAGAAACAACGTTTTGTTTTGTGAAAATATAGTGCGAGTCGTTCGGGTGATCTTCAATTCATCCAACACCCACCCGAATAAGTGTGGATAAGAGACTTATCATTCGCAATCCAACCACATCAATCACAAACTCAATGTGGTTCGAGTTATTTTCGGGTGCATCGATGTCAGATTGTGGATTAACACCTACTTCATGTGCCCACTCCTAGTTATAAGTACTGTAGATAAAAGTACATATAAGTGTACCAAACTATGCATTTGCTGGTTTTTTACGGGGTCTAGATGGAGAAAATATAATGGGACAAAAATATAACATTATTTTGAACTAAAGAAATGGAAATATATGTTTCTCTTGTTTCCGTAGCAATGCCAGGAAAGGGGAAAGCCAATGACAGACTATAATAGGTAGAAAAGTGGCGGCATTGGTACAACCACGGCAATATAGAATTCCCCCTTATATAGTGGATGGATGGATGGATGCCGGATATATTGAGAACTCTTTTCTTTTTTACCGTAAGTTGCTTTTCTATTCCAAGAAGTTGATGCATTTATTTTTTAGTATAAATCTAATTTTACAATATTTCCATTTGAGACAAATATATTTGTTATATTCAGAACCACATACCTATTTTCCATTAGAAAAAAAATCGCATATCTTTTTATGTGCCACGAAAAGTTAATTAGCTATATGCAAAAGTAATGGCGACATTCATTTTCGTCTCCTAAAGCAATGAATTGCCAACAAAATAGTATTTGTCTCTGTTAGCCTATAAGCTAAAACTTAAAGAAGACCGTTGCCGAAACTTTGCCTCCAAAAATAATAGGTTATTTTACATAATTTCATAGATAAAACAACATAATATTATTGCAGGCAAATAATAATACTTATAGAAGCATATTGAATATATGTGGTGTATAAGTACTTTTAGCAATATATACAATATTTGCCTCTATAATTTAGTCGCTAAAAAGTGATTTTCTTGTAGTGATGACTGATGATACAGAGTTGCACCATGTGGTATCTGGGTGAAACAAAAATAAATTCTCGAAATAATATCGAAAGATCTAAATGAACATATTTTTATCTGTGCGTAATTAACTTAAATTTTGACTCAACGCAAAGGTCATTTTTCTTCCTTTTTTTTAGGCCACCTGAATAATGATTTTAAAAAAACAGCACCAACTTTATATATACTTATTATTCAAGACGTAACAATGAACATTCCAATCCAACGTAATTGTTGTCATTTTAAGCAATTCAACTTTTGATTTATACTCATTATAAGCTGCTTTTTCCCGCCTATAAATACTGGCGCACTTGAGGGCGCTCCGCTATATCTCCCAAACGCACGACCTCGATCCTTCCCTCCCTTCACATAATATTATTGTCTTTTCACTTCCATTTCATGGACAACGTGGCTCTAAACTTCCACGGCCACGGAAAATCAACTCGGCCCGTGACACTATCTGAAGACCAGCTCCGTCAGATCTTCATGCAGTTCGACGCCAACGGCGACAAGCAGCTTTGCAAGGAAGAGCTCAAGAGAGCCTTCAGCCAACTGGGCGCCATCATCCCAGGTTACAGGGCCCGCCGCTGCCTCTACATCGCCGATGCCGACGGCGACGGGAAAGTAGACTTGGTTAATGAACTCGATCATCTCGTTAGATATGCTTTGAAGCTCGGCTACTCCGTCAATCAATACACCAACAATAATATAGCGTGATGATGATGATGATGATTTAGGTCGCCTTCGCCCCTATCGAAAACATGATTATATAGTGCTTTTGCACTAGGTTGTTGTCCATATAATAATACCGGCCGGTATGTAAGCATATATAACATTCCTGGGCTTGGAGTAAATAAGAGCTTTCTAGTGTGTGCTAGTAGTAGTGTTGAATATGAAGAGATTTTAAGTTCAAGTTTCTCGAGTAACACTTTATAATAAAAACTAAATTTATATTACTCTTGTTTTTTTTTTTTAAATATTCCTTACTGGTGGATGTTGTCGTGGGTAGGGAATTGGATCCTACCTATATGTATCTAGCAGTTCAAATATCAAATAAGGGACAAACAGATCTGGGATCCATTTTTTCTAACTCAATCAACGAATATTAGCATTATTTTTCGTTAGTTGTTGGCCCCAACATTTGAATATATAAGATGTGGTGGATGTTATTGACATTAACAACTATAAGACCAAACTAAAAGGTTAGTTATTGACATTAACAGGCGGCGTATCTTGAAGTTTATGGGTCTATTTTTTGGTTTAAGAAAGAAAATTAAACGCAAAAGATATTTAAGTACTGAATAATGGTATGTTGTGTTAACTAACCTTTGGATAGGAAAGAACATATTTATTATTTTTGTTAGAGTATAAATTACATAATACGGAGGAGTTAAAACTTTGTTTCGTTTCGAGAGTTTATGGATTGAAAAAAATAAAGTGTCACGACATAATAAAAAGGAAGGAGTGATGCTTGACGACGAACGCTTCTGAAGGCAACCCTTTCGACTCTCCGGCCCCACCAGCAGCCTCTCCAGAAGTACCAAAGGTGGACTCTGCGTTTATACAGAATTATCCTTCTTTAACCCATACACTATAGAACCAAAACGTGCCCATAAAATTCTTCTTTAACCCATATGAAATAGACCAAGAATGCGTCCAAATGAATAATAGATATGTGAAGCACACATAATGTGCTAATCGTAGATCAAATCACCAAAATAAAAACATTTCAACAGTATTGTATTATTAATTTTTGTTATGACTTGATATATAAATTGAAAAACTTGAATTTGGGTGTTACGAGAATCGAATTCAAAATCTTTCTTACACAAAGCGAGAATCATGTCACTTGACTAAACCCCTCAGATGATCCACCAATAATTTTGCAATAAATACAAATTTGGGCACCAATATGGACAAAGTTAGATGGGCAACTTATTGACAAGGACACGCATGTAAGGATTTCAATAGTAAGATGGCATGTACGTTCATTTTCTTTATGTACGAAATAAGGTTTTTCTATAAAAATTATATCTGAAGTAAGACATGACTAAGGGGTCCCTTAGTCACATGACTAAGTCAATCTCAGCCACTCAACCTCATTAAAATCTAATGGTCCTAATTTATTCAGTTTAATGAAGGATAAGATGGTAATTACACATTTAATTTATTTAATAATTAAAATAAAAAAAATCGTAGCTATCTCCCTCGCGTGTATTATTTTTGCCGGTGATCTTTCGGCAGCCCCTCACCGGATTTTTTTGCCGGATCACTCGCCGGGATGCCATGGCCTTCTGGCCATTCTTTATTCTTTCTTTTCCTGGGGATTTTTCCCAGCGGATCATATTCAAGCGCCGATGTCAGTGCCGTCATCTCCCTCGCCGTCGCAGTCTTCGTCCCCACCGATCGTCTCCGGTGCTCCCCGTCGCCGTTGGACTCGCCGATTAGACGGCTGAAGATGAGCAGCCCATCGGAGTAGACGACACCAACAAGGAAAAAAGCAAAAAATGACCAGACTGGGGATTATTGGCATGGCCATTCTTTAATTCTTTCTTTTCCCTGGGGATTTTTCCCAGTAGGTACGAGAGAGAGAGAGAGAGAGAGAGAGAGAGAGAGAGAGAGAGAGAGAGAGAGAGAGAGAGAGAGAGAGAGAATTTTCCGACGACAGTGTTTTGTGATGTTTGTTGACATATTTTGTAATGTTTGTACGCTTTGTTATTTTGTAATGTTTGTAAACTTTGTTATTTTTGTGCACCATGTTTGTAAACTTTGTTATTTTTGTGCACCATGTTTGTAATGTTTTTTATGTCTAAAAAACAACCTGGTTGACTTTTGGATGGAACTTCTCTATATAGGGATGAAGCCTCCAAAGTCAACCCGGGTGTTTTTTCCCGTTCGTATGGATTGTCGGTCTAGTTTGTCATTTTTGTCCACCATGTTCGTACTGTTTGTATGTCTAAAAAACACCCGGGTTGACTTTGGGAAGGAGCCCCTCTATATAGGGATGGAGCCTCCAAAGTCAACCCGGGTGTTTTTTCCCGTTCGTATGGATTGTCGGTCTAGTTTGTCATTTTTGTCCACCATGTTCGTACTGTTTGTATGTCTAAAAAACACCCGGGTTGACTTTGGGAAGGAGCCCCTCTATATAGGGATGGAGCCTCCAAAGTCAACCCGGTTGTTTTTTCTTTTTGTATGGTTTGTATTGTTTGTCAGTCTAGTTTGTATTGTTTGTACAGTTCATACGTTTGTAATGTTTGTAAATCTGTTTGTATGTTTTGTCGCTCTAGTTTGTACTGTTCGTATGTTTGTATGGTTTGTACTGATTGTAAATCCGGTTTGTATACTTCGTAATTTTCCATAATACCCAAACTACCCCTGTCATTAATTAAATAGCACTTTCCACTTTTTAACCATTGGATTGAAGTTTCCAGATCTAATGACTAGGAGGGGCTTAGTCACTTGACTAAGAACCCCCTAGTCACCAGATCCGCTCTCATCAGTTTTACTCCATTCTGAAATACGAGTAAGCACGAACTATACAAGCCTTTCTAGCCAAAGAGATACCAAATTAGGCCCATAAAGACAAGGTCCCACAAGAATCGAAGTCCTCAGCTCGCATGAAGCTGGCTCAAGATAGGGTGCATAACCATGGGTTATGCACCCATCAATAACCAAATCTAAACCCTTCATTTAGAAAATCCAGATCTAAGGATGGAGAATTAAAGGTTATTTTTATTTTCACTAGCTTTCTTAATTGACTCATATCTTTTTCGTTTTAACTCGGATTTTAATTTTTTTTTGCACAGATGGAACGAGTTCACCGTGCTCTACAAAATGAGATCAATTTTCAATATTTTTTTAGGAAAAAAAAGTTCTGGCCTCTCGGTACCAACTGCATACCATATGGTATCTTCTTCGTTTTTAATTCGTTTTTGAAAACGTTTGCACAGCAGGGATGAGTTCATCATGATCTACTGGATCTACAAATATCTGGGTGAACAAATTACAGGACCAAAAAATACTACACAATACCATACAATACCACCCTGGTACGGGGTGGTATTGTATGGTATCTTCTTCGTTTTTAATTCGTTTTTGAAAACGTTTGCACAGAAAGGACGAGTTCATCATGATCTATTGGATCTACAAATTTCTGGGTGAACAAATTACAGGACCAAAAAATACCACACAATACTAGGGGTGGCTATTTGGACCGTGACCGGATGAAAAACCGGAAACCGGACCATATAACCCGGACCGAGACCGGATAGTAAACAATCCAATCCAATCTTTGGGCTTAGATTTGAGGTAAAAAACCGGATAAAGACCAGATAAGAGAGCTCAACATCCAAAACTTAAGGGTAATTTGCATAAACGGTCACAAACCTTTGCACTTAGTACAAAACTTAACCAACTCCTCACCCTTTTAGGCCTTAGGCCACTCAAATTTCCACAATCTCAATATAAAACCAAGACCGAACTGGGACCGGACCGGGTCAAGACCGGACCGGATCAAGACCGGACTGTATCCAATCCAATCTTCGGTCCTTATATTTTCAAAAAACCCGGACTGGACCGGATCAATTTGGGTCAATTTAACCGGACCGGACCGTATAGCCACCCCTACACAATACCATACAATACCACCCTGGTACGGGGTGGTATTGTGTGGTATACAATGTTAAAAGTCGTAAATTACAATTAATATACTTCTACTATCATGTATTCAACCATCCTACGGTTATTGGTTTGTTCATACCACCATGGTACGTTTTTCAAAACATAGGTATGCTTTGATTTCAATACTAGTCAATACCATATGGTATAGGCTGGTAAAAAATGGCTCAATATTTTTTGTTCGAAAAATATATTAAAGTGGATATCATTTTGAAGAGCACAATTAATCCGATCTAACTGTGCAAAAAAAATTAAATTTCGACTTAAAATGAGCGAGAAATCGTCCGTCAAAGATTAAAAAGAGAAAAATTAAAGGCTTTCCATGAGAGAGAGGATGCTGATGTCATGCTGATGTGGACGGGTTACTCATGGTTACTCACCATAAGGTTACTGACCTGATCCATTCCCCATGAAGCTAGGTGTTGCAGCTTGCAAATATATTTTTGTTGGTAAATCCGGACTTTTTTACTTGTATTATTATTTAATTTAAGATTTATTAAAAAAAAGCATCGACGATTATGTTAGGCGTGATATAGCAAATGTTTGGAAAATAAGCACCAGAATCTTGCCACGCGGACCGAAATACAATTCGACCGCGGCCCCATTGGCGGGCGCCGGCCGGTGGCCTATCTTCCTCCCGCAAGTGCGTTGAGAATTTGTTTCCGGGTCCTCAAAGATATCAAGAATCAAGCCAAGTGGGAAGGAATCAGCTGCAGATTTGGACATTATGTATATTTGCCCAAAAAGTAAAATTCTTGACGTTATCTGTAACCGACTCTAAGTCTATGCTGGTCTTTCCATCTTTGTTGTGTTTGGTGTAAGGTACCATAACAGTGGTTGTGGCCTGTGGGATAAGTGTGTATTTGTCATTGTTTGTTTATTTATTTATTATTTTGACGAAAGTAGTTTGTTACATGAAATTAGACTTTTTTTCAAAATTTAGTGTGCAATCAAGAAGATCTGGATCACAAGATTGTTAGGGAAGTGTATGAACTAGACATCTATAAAAAAACTAAAGTTTATGTGCAGAGATTAATTGG